AATAAAGACAATAATGATATGTCTCAATTAAGTTCTCTTTCCGATTCAAATAAAGGCTCACCCTTTCCAACAAAGTCAGCCTTTCATGCTCCAAACAATCTATGGAAAACAGATGGTACAATTATTAGTCCAGAGTTTACTCATAAAATTACACCTGCAAAAGGTTTCGCTTCCATTCCATCTTATGTACAACCCATGATTCCAGAATATTCACCTTCACTTTATGAACATGGATTAGCTATCTATGCACCTTATTTCCTCTCAGGAAACTCTCATGAGTGTGAAAGTTCAGTGTTGTCTGTCTACAGCTCTCAAGATCAAAGACATTTTCTTCCTCATCCAGGACCACTTCCTAAACCAATCAATCCAGCAACATACGAGCACTACCGCTTATTCCAGCCATATCGTCCAAATCTTTCAGTGCCATATGGATTTTGTAGACCAACAGAATCAGCATTTTATAGGCTGCCACACATTGCAGATATTAACAGAGACACAAATTCTCATTTGATGGAGGAAACAACCTTGCTATATCCGCATTCTTCAAGTCCAGCCAGGTTATCATCACAAAATTCTCATAAAAAAACAGATGACTATGAAAAGGAAATCCCTATGCTGCATAACAAAGGTCATTCTAAAGAAGATCAAAATGAAAGAGAAAATGCCAAAATGAGCCCTCGTGCTGGAAGTGCAGCAACTGGATCCCCAGGAAGACCCAGCCCAACAAACTTCACTCAAACTAGCCATGGTTGTGAAGGCCTATTTGATCTTTCTAATAAGTCATCTTCAGTTATTAACAAATGTGATCAACATGAAGAAAGTTTTACAGCATTCAGACCCGTGAGGAAAAGTACAGATCAATCTCCCCCGCCTGTATCAAAGGAAGACAAAGGAAATTCTCCTAAAAGGTAAAATGTCAAATCCCCTTTTAAAACTTTTTTTCCTGCTAAGCAAACATGCCCTCAAGATACATTACATAGGGCCTCCTAGGACATATTTCATTACTTGTCAAACTGGAAAACACACGGCAACTAGGAAATACATGGGCTGCAACTATATATAGCTGGGTGGGAAAGTTTATTTTAAAAGAGGGGGGAATATTCTTACAAGGGCTACATACCAATGAGCAAGGCTATCCTAATTCGAACTTTTTTTCCCTCTTGTTCATCATTACCTCTTTTTTGCTTGGCTCTGAACTAATAATTTGCAGTTCTGAGTGCTGAATGAGAAAAGACATTTCTCTTCTCTCTATCTCATGAAAAAACAGATAGGACAGCAGGGGCTTTGGAGGGATAATGGGGAAGAATACAGTCAATGGACTTGTACTTTTGCCTTTCAAAGAAATGTCTTGGTCTAATTTATTCTATAGTTATTGTCTTATTATCCTAAATTAAATTAAATAAGGGAATGGTATGCATGGTAAATAACAAGATAACACATGAAAGATAGGAATTATAGTAAAAATATTGTTGTCCTAAATAAACATGCCAACCAGAGTACAAAATTATAAACTCCTTTTTTGTTTTTATTTTATTCTTTACTTTATAACCTAACCTAATGCATATTTATGCACATATAAGCATCATGCAAATAGTGAATGAAATATTTAAGCATACACAGTATTGCTAATTTAAATGTTGCCATTTATACAGTTATTTATACATACAATGCCATTTACTGTATTTATATTATACTTATTCACCATTTTTTACCCAAGGCAGTGTATGAGAACAAAATTATATAAAGATAGTAATATGATGCAAACCCAGTCAATATAAACGAACACCAGAAAAATCTATGGAATAACAAAACATTTTGATTAAAATAGCAATACAATTAGGATTAATCACTGAATATTTCATTTCATGAAAAAGATTTTAGACCAGCCGTTTAAAAACTTTTTATTCTGTAGGAACATTTGAAATAACTTTTAGGTCTCAGGGAAACCCCTGCATATTTTTTTTTTTTACAATAGGCAGAATATAACAATGGCCTAAATGGCCTCTTCCCATTCTGTGCTTTTAATGTCTCACTTCCAATAATCCTTATACAATAGGCCTTATTTTTAACAGAATTATTGGAAAACCCTTGCTACATTCAGATGCCTATTGATAAACTATAGTACTTAATCAAAATGAAATATATATTTCACAGTATATACGATGCACAGATTGACTTCATAATTTTTTTATGTAATCATCTTAACTTCTCGCTAAAATAAGCCAAAATGTATGAACTGCTCACGACACCTGAGATTTAAAACTATGCCATGTGTACAAAAATATTAACCACATAAACAAATGCATACATAACAATGGGGAGTGTGTCTGTATGTAACAACAATATAATTTTTCTAATAGCTTATATACAAGTAATTTGTTTCATTTCTAATTCAAGATATCTACCCCATTTAAGTATTTTGCCAAATTACACAATAACATTTTCCATTTTTCTTCTCAGTAGTGACATCGCTAATGAAAAGGAAAATGTACAGCATGGAAATGATAGTAATGAGGATCCTTTGTCCAGTTCCGAAGATGATTCAGATGATTCACCGCTTAATCTTTCCAAGAAGCCAGATGCAAACTTAGTCGATGCACATACGTATACAAGCACTTTCCCAACAGAAAACCAGACCTGCATGGAACTGCAGGAAATGCCTTTGAACCTTTCAGTGAAGGACAACTATCATATAAATGTATGTTTTCAGAACTCATTATATGAAACTAAAGATTATAATCTTCAAAAAGCTGAAAATAAAGATCTGGGGACAGAAATATGTAACCCAAAGAATCAAACAGATAAAGGTTCCTTCAGTAAGCCTCTTATTGTGATGCCTATAAAAGAAGTGGAGGAACCAAGGACAATTGAGAGTTGTGATGAGCAGAAACAAACTGCAGCTGTTGCCCTGTGTCAATTAGCTTCCTACAGTCCAAATACAGTCCAAAAAGAGAGCGCAGAGAAAAATAAGCAAGAGATCAATTCTCAATATGCCAAGTCCATCGCTGAACCATCCGAAACCCAGAACGATCATTGTAAGAAAGCAAAAGGACAAAAAAGGACCAATCACAGAGAAGCAACAAAAGTACAACAAGGAACCAAAAGAGTAAGAATAAATGAATGCAGTCGAGTGTTCACTTTGAGAAAGAGAACAAGGATAGCATAATATTGTTCCACCAAGTAGAGTTCATATGTACACTATCCAACAAAAATACTAAACATTTTTTTCAGTACCAAAATTTTATTTTTACTTTGCAGATTCATTTATTCTGTTCAATTGAACTATGTAAATATTAAAATGTCTTGTATATACATTTTAAAGTAATTGAACATTTAAATGTAAGACTGAAGCTAAATGATAATTTCTTAAATGCACTATTGTACAAACATGTTTCATAAATGCACTATTGGGAAAACAACTTATTCCAAAAATGAGCTGTTAGAAGCACATTCTGGATATTAGAGTGTTCTATGTAGCTCTAACTAACTTCATTTTCCAATCTTTTTGTTTTATGTTTTTTATTGTCCAGTGTATTTTTGTTGTTTTATCAATATTTTAAGAATGAAAATTTCCAATTGCTTAAGCTTAGTGCTATTGAATTTTCATTGATAAAATATTAGAGCACTCATATTAAACCTTTCTAAATTACAGTTTTGGTATTGTGTTTTTCTCAAGTTGAATGGCCCAATATAAAAATGTTATGGTCCAAATTTTAAGTCCTAAATTAATTGAATTAATTAAAATGTAGGACTTAAACAAAGTAGAGACCCAACACAAATGCTTACATGTTGGATAAACTGCAACTTCAGGTCCCAAATACTGAGAGAAATGCGAATCAAAGAAATTATTTATTTCAACCCATATTAGAAGGAACCCTATGTTGTGAATTCTATATTTTGCATCCATATGAGTTTGTAGCACTAAAGAGATTGTATACTATAGGTATCAGTGAATGTTTCATAGACTTGTTAGTAATGATTTACCATTTCACGTGTTATCGTAATTTTTCCTCTTTTTACAATATTATTTATACTGTAGCAAAAACAGCTTGCAAAGGCTACAGATAACTCTTTATCATGAATATTCCTCAGAAAGTTACAACGTAATGTATCTTTTTAAGTATCAGTTTGTAACAATGTTTAGCTGGAGAGAATTAGATCATTCTATTTCTGATTCATGCCAATGTTATATTTGTTTGGTATATATTTCATTTCGAGTGTAAAACTATTTTTTTTTAAAAATGCACAAAAATCAAATATGTATCCTAAGAGTTGTATTTAAATGTTATTTATGTACATATGGTGAATATTTTCCAGTAAAATATACCTTTCTGTGTAATTTACTGAAGTATATGCATTCTAGTATATTTCATCCTAAAATACATCTTTCTTTCTTGTTATATTTTTATCATCAAAATTACAAAATTCAAAGAAGTCCTGGAAAATGTAAATCATAGCAACACATTTTTCTTTTGATCAGAATTGAAGAAAAGTCACCTTGTTCAAGAATCACTGTATTTACATGGGATATAATTGGAATGTATAAATAATGTGACCATTATCCACAGCCATTAAAATGTCAAGTCTTTAGAAGACCTGGCCCATGTATGATAAGTGATTAATGAAGATTGTACAGGTAGTTCTTATTTAATGATGGTAACTGACAACTTTTACTAAAGGAGACAATTAGTGCTCTTATTATCTTAAATAATAAGAAAGGAACATCCGGGTGGCCAGGATATAAATTTCCCTCAGACTCTGAAAATACAAACAACTACATATGGTGCTATAGACTACAGTGACTGATGGTAACACCTCCCCCTAATGAGATGTTTTGCACAACAATGGCACCCCCTAACCTTTGGAAAGCTAGATTACTACCTACCCAGTCTTAGCCAAAAGCTGGTTCAGATTATTAACATATAATTCTACCAAATCAAAATCTAACTTTATTTTGAGGGGCTTTATTTTTGGTTCAGCTCAATTTAGAAAACACTTACCATCTGATAGCCTGGAAGGTAGTAACAAGCCTCTTCTTCCTAATTCAGCCAGGGCCAAACATCCACCATGCCACGTATTATCAGTTTCCTGAAAACTGCAGTTTTAGAAAACAGGATTTTAAGATTATTTTTCTTAATTTTTCTTGACTATTGCAACGTGCTCTACATGGGGTTGCCCCTGAAGAGCATCTGAAAACTTCAGTTGGTGCAAAATGCAGCAGCCTGCATGGTTTTGTGCAGACCTCGGTGTGGACATGTATCACCTCTCCTGTGGGAACTGCATTGATTGCCGATTTGCTTCCAGGTGCAATTCAGGGTGCTGGTTGCACCTTTAAAGCCCTTCATGGCTTGGAAGCAGATAATCTGAGGAATCATCTCTTACAGCCACATGTACCCGACCCATTAGAGTGGAGAGGCAAGGAATGTTGCGGACCCCATCCCCATGGCAGATACATCTGGCGGGACCCAGAAGAAAGGCTTTCTCTATGGTGGCTCCCTCTCTCTGAACATTATTCCTCCAGACATTAGACTGTCCCCCATTCTAACACTCTTTTGGAAGGTGCTGAAGATGATCAGTGGGCCTGAGGAACCCAGAGCGGGATGGAGTCCATTAAATGGTTTGTGTGTTGTCACCAGGATGGGAGGGAGTTATTATTTTATTTATTTTATTATTTTTTATTTCTTTTATATGGTTTTTATATCAGTGTAAGCCACCATGAGCAAGTAAGTGGCAATATCAATTTTCTAAAATAAATAAATAAAATAAATAATTCTGATTTTAAAGTGTATGCCAAAGAAGCATCTTACATGATGCCATGTAATTGTGCGGCAAAACATAAAATCAAATAAAATTTTCTTTAAAATCAATCTAACAAAAATCCCAATGTGAAACTGCACTTTTCCCCTTTTTTGCACATTGTATTGGTGTGCATTAGTTTTTTTTTTTAAAAAAAATTAAAACAATTATCTTTCTATGCCCAATAGCAGAGATTCCCAAACTTTGGCACTTCATGGTGCCCTTAATGTCTTGACAATTTTTTCACAACCCTAGGTCCAAACCATGAACTAGCTCGAGCTAGTAATTTGCAATCCTGCAGCATCCATGTGAATTTCCTAAGGTGTCCTGGCATAGTAGCGCAAAGTTTGAGAACTAAATCCCTATAGAAAACTGACACTATAAAAATCTGAAACCTCTTAGTCCTCAAAAAAAACAACAGATTGAGATTGTAATCTGAAACATTATAACCAATTTTAACAGGAAAAAATAAGGTTCAAATCAAAAGCATACTAAAAATAAGTATCAGTTTTTGAATAAACCAAGATATTAAACCAACATGTAAACATGATTTAATATTTTGGTGTGTTCAGTACATCAACCTGTTTCTCAATTAAGGAACAACAGGTTACCTATCAAGAATTGTGGATTTTCCAGGTACAGAGAATGGTGATAAGAATTGCAGAGCATTTGAAGATGAAATCTGTATCTCATTTCTAGCTATGAATTGTTGGTCTGTGCTGTTTGTCAAAAACAAAAACATTTAGATTGTGATAAAAGGGAAATGAAGACTTTCAAGCATCAAATGGGCAACAATTTGGAGAATTGTTTTCTTTATAACATAATTTGCTAACCCTGTGGAGCATAACTCTTCAAATCTAAATTTGGAGATACCATTCATCTTTATTTTGCATATTTCCTCATTCTATAATAGCATTTTGTTAGATAAAAGACTAAAATTATAGACCCTTTCTTACATCGGTATATAGGCATCAAACCAAATCATTTAATTAGATACTACGATACAATGAGTTGAACTTTTAAAAATATATTTCCATTTTGGAATCTAACTTCTATGCTTCTGCTTGAGAAATGTTTTATGTATAAAATTTCATTTCTGAAAAAAGCTAAATGTAAGGTATTACCTGAAGCAGTCCAATACAGACCCAACAACATCATCAGCTAACTCTTTTGGCAGCCTTCCAGTCAACCTGCCAATCCTGAAAAAAACAATAGCACTTCATTAAGACTTTCAAGAGTTTATGTTTGCCATGTTTTTCATAAAGATAGCTATGATCCTGAAATCTGAGCTTTGCAATTTTGAAATTCAAATCTATAATTCTGTAATATATATTGATCCTACAAATTTAATTTCAACTGAAGATTAAATAGTTCCGATTTTGTATCTGCATTCTCTATAGCACAGGCATGCCAAAGTAGATCACCTGTAACATTTAATTCTCCCATTACCAGATCAAATTCCTATAAATACATTTCGGGTATGTTCTTATGCTATGCTCTCTGATCCATTTATAAGAAGAAGGCAAGACACATATCAGGCCCCAGTAAATCCTTAAATTATTTGATGTCATAAGTGTTCTTATTCTATTTCTGGATTCAGAAAGAATATGAAGAAATGTTTTTTAGATATGTATTTTTTATTGTTTTGGAAATCTTTTTCACCAAATGAAGAAAAAGCATGTATAAATACAGTTCTTTTTCATTTAAATATATATTGTTATTCAACACTAAACAAAGGCTCATAATAATAATTTAAATTTTAAGCTTGTAAATCATCCTATTCTCAACCATTATGGGCAGCTCACAGCAATCAAACAAATTACAATAAAGAATGTGCATCTCAATGTAATTGCTTCCCAGACATGAATTTATTTGTTTATTTATTACTATGTTTTTATTACTAATGAAATTGGCTATGGCTATAAATATAACTACTGAAAATGATCTCAGTATTTTTAAAATAGGAAATAGTAAATAATAATAAATGAAGCATAGGAAAAGATGTCATAATTTAGAATATAATCCAAACATGAAAAAAGTAAATATTGCAACAAAGATCAAATGAATCCATAAGCAAGGGCTTGTGTTTTGCTTTATTAAACAGAACATTTAATAGCACTGTGTTCCATATCATTCTAGTTACCAAAATTTACAGATTAAATTGTGTAAATCAATTTAACTCAAGAACACATACCCTTTTGCTGCAGACCATCTCACAATAGTATCTTTGTCTTTTAATCCAATCAACAATTGTTCTGTGAAAAAATGTTTTTAAAATCATAACATGAATTCAAGGCAATCAAACATTGTCTTTCTCTTGCCAATTCATCACTTCTAGCTTTATTAGGATACATCTCCAAATCTTACTGGAGTGATGAGGATAGTAATTTGTTCCTAAACATGATTTTGTACCCAAAAATCATGTTTGTTTGTTTGTTTTGTTTTAGTGGATCTGTCACAAAGAAGTCTAAACACTTCTTTAAAAAGAAGATCAAATTAACCATGTGGGAAAAGTCAAAATAGAGCACGAAAGGGAGGGACTCATAATTCAAAACAATGTCAAGAACAATAACCAAAAAGCGCAAATAACATCAGTACAATAGCATGCACAAAATATTATTAAAGCTACAGGTACCTTTAATTTAGATACAAATCAAATTAATAATAATAACTTCAATAACATAGAGTCAGTTTGGTCTAGTGGTTAAGGCACCAGCTGGAAAGTGGGAGACTCTGAGTTCTAGTCTCACCTTAACCATGAAAACTAAGAGGAAGAATCGAAAGTATGATGCCCAGATATATTTTTTAAACTATGAAACAAAGATAACGTAACACTATTTATATAGTTTCCTACCAGATAACATAAGGAATTGCATATAAATCAATAAATCAAATTCATAAACCACATTGGTCAGGATATCAGATCTTACATTGTTTTGATCAAACATACGTACCTATAACATTTTCAACCTCTCCTGGAATATCATATTCCTCCTCTTCCTCCTCTTCTCCTGTGTTAACTGTTACATTTTCTATCTTCTGCGGAATGAGACCTCCACTAGAAAATTGTAGATTTGCAGCTAAAGATCGGAATCCCCGTTGATACCTGGAAAGGTAGTTTCACAATGGTTATATTTTTAGCAGTGAGCAAGGACGTTATCTTCAAAATACCCATGAAGTAGATTTTAAAAATAAATGTAAAATATTCTGTCACTGGTGAAATAATTTGTGAGAAAAATTTGTGCTGACATTTTGCTATTAACATGTCACACAGCATTATCTAGAGCAGGGGTGTCAAACTCAATTTCAATGAGGGCCACATCAGGATTGTGTTTGACCTCAGGGCTGATGAGGGCATGGCCAGGGTGGGAGTGGCCAGCTTGATATCACACATGTTGGGGGTGCTTGTGGTGGCCTAAGTGCTCTGACAGCAAAAATGGGCTCCCAAGCTCCATTTTCACTGGCAGAAGCCCTGTGGGCCAGTCCTTGGCTGTTTCCAGGTTGGCCCTGCAGGTTAGATCTAAGAGCTGAGGTGGTGCAGTGGTTAGGGTGCAGTACTGCAAGCCACTTCAGCTGACTGTTATCTGCAGTTCAGCAGTTCT